AGTCTTCCAGGACCCTACAGCCATCCTCTGCAGACTGTGGGTCTCTCCTCTGTCTTTGGTTCAGTCTCTGGTGATCCTGACACCCAGCCGACACTGCCAAGACCCCTCGGCCTCAGGACTCAGCCAGAACCCCCCCGGCGCCCCCTTCTTCTCCGTCGCGGTCCCTCAGCCACCGCGGTCGGGCTCTGCGCCCACACCCACCGCCCCGCCGCCACCGCAGGGCGCCTGGCCAGGACTCCCAGGGCTCGAGCTGGGCTCGTTCGTGCCACCTGCCCACCTCTAGGCGGGGGTGGGACCCAATCGAGGGACTGAGGTGTGGAGAGACCAGATTGACCAGCTTTCCCGGTGGCCTCAGTGCTGGGGAGGGGGACAGAGACCAGACAGATGCTCAGTCCCACAAACAGAAACAGGGCTATGTCACTGAGGTTTCCATTTCTTTTGTGTGTGGGGGGGGGGGGCCCCTTTCTCTGCATTGATTAGGAATACCTCAACCCCTCATTTCTTTAAATCCCAGGCCTGAAAGAATGTTCAAGTTCAAACCTCCCACACCTCCCCCATTTCACAGGGAAACTGAGGCCAGATGGGTCCGCTTATTCCAGGTTGCAGGCCGGAATTTGGGCCCAGGCATCCCTGTCTCTCCTCAGAGTGCTCTTTCCAGTGGGCTCCAGCTCTGTGACTTTCCACCTTCCTTAATCCCTTCTCTCTGCCGCTCACCAGTGGAAGCAACGATCAGCAGAGGCCTGGAGGCTTCTGATCAAGAGTCTGAGTTTCCAAGGGGGTCTGTCTGCCCGATGGGGGGCAGGGGTGGGGGAGGATTGCGGAGGAGCCTGCAAAGGACCCAGCCACAGATCTTGCCCCTCCGTCCAGGCCCTCCCCTGGCTGCCGAAGACAGCCCTCCCGCTTCCCACTATGTGACACGTTCGCCCACACACTCACCTTGGCTGGAGTGAGGCCTCATTAAAATCATGAGAGGGAGGGAGACACCAGTGCTGCACAGGGCCTGCCAATGACACAGGTGTCCCAAAGAGGGCATGCACAAACCTGCACGGGAATGCAAGCCCCCGTGCACGCTTGCACCCCTCCCCACGCACACCGGTGTCGGGCGTACCTCCAACGTTAGCATTTGTTGTTAGCTCTGCCTGGGCTTTCTCTTCCTCACGACTTGGCTTGTTACCCCCCGCCCCCCAACCCTGGTCAACACAACCCCATCCTCCTTCTTCCTCCCAATTGTCTGCGTACTTTTATTTGAACAATCAGCAGGAAGAGATTCCAAGGCCTGAATTCAAAGCCCTTTCCCCATCTCTGTGATGTATGGTTATAAAAATAATGCTAAGAACAGAAAGTGACCTTTATTTCTAATCTGTAGTCCTTGATGACTTCTGGCTTTGCTTTTCTCGAGAAAATAGTTTTTTTTTTTCCTGGTTATTAAAAATAATACCTGTTCATATAAAAATATTCAGGCAATACAGAAAAATCTAAAAACGTGAGTCAGAAGCATCTGAAATTTCATCGCTGAGGTAACGACAGATAATCCGGTGAATATTCTTCTGGACTTAAAAAAATGCACACACTTATACACACAGATATTTTTATATGAAAAAATGAAATAGTACTAGGCCTATTTTTTTTTTCCTTATCTGCCCTTCTGTCTCAGCAATGTATTATGGACATCTCTAAATGGCAGCCGAGACACCCACTGTGGGGACATTTGGCACTCTGGGCCTCTCTGACTCATGTTTCACTCTTCTCGCTGCCTCGCAGAGGAGAGTTGATTGGTGGGTGGTTCTGGGGGGGGGGGGGGGGGGGATGGGGACCCTGAGCGCAGGATTCCACTTAGGGCAGCCTGTGTAGATGGAATGAGGCCTTGCAAAGTGCTGAGTCTACTCAGCTGAGCTCTGGCTGGGTCTCATGGGGCCTGAGGGAAATGGAAGGCTCAAAACATTTTTAAAGACCAAAAACTGCTAAAGAGACAGGGTGATGGATTCAGTGGTGAGATTTGCATTTGGGGGGCTTGCCAAGCTGACCTCAGGGCAGGGAGACATGCTGGGTGCTGCCAGGGCCTCATGCTCAGGAAAGATGAATTTAGGAGCAGGGGGTTTGGGAAGCAGTATGGAGAGATGCTTCCACTCAGGGTTGGGGTGACTTCAAGGAGAAGAGTTTCGACTTTTTTCTTGGATTTATTTATACCCAACCTCCTTCTAAAAAGGTGTTATAGTAGCTTTCCACAAAGGACATATGCAAAAAGGTCAGGCAGCTAGAAATAGAAAGTCAGGACCAGGAACAATTTCCATCTGAAGTGGAGGGCTGCATGGAAAAGGGCCCTGCTTCTCCCAGCCCCTGGGGATGAGCTGGTGAGAAAAGCAGAATGACCCCAAATGGGGAGGAAGAAGAGGAAGGAATCTGGTTGATGTGAATGGACGCAGCACCCAAAGTCAAACCTCTAGCTTTGTCTCCAGGTTCTCCCCCTTCCTAAGTTGATGAGCGTGGGTAACCACAGCACCTTTCTGAGCCTCAGTTTCCCCATCTCTAAACACAAAAATAAATATACCTGCCTTATCATAAGTCTAATACAGGGCACTCACTCTTCCTGTAAGTTGCCTGACCTACCTGTATAGTTTACACTAGGACTTGCCCTTGGATGGGGTCACTTTATAGTTTACACACTGTACAACTGTGGCCCTGGGAGCAGATGGTCATCAGAGGAGAGATGACAGAGGGGAGGACCAAGGAGGTACATTTATGGTGCCTGCCAGCCACTGCTCCTCTGAAGGGGGCCAAGTCTCAGCCTTTCTAGAAGCAGCAGGCCATAGGCAGTCATGTTTTATATGCATGATTCCTCCTACCCAGCTGATGAGACCAGGGCTGACCCCAGGGTGGCCAGTCAGCTGGTTGCCCAATGATGCGTTTATGACTAGGCACAAAATGGTGGGCCAGTCCAACTGGCCCTTTCTCTAGAGAGGCTGAGTCAGTGATCGGGACTGAAGGGGAGCTGCCATTGGAAAGTTGTGAAGGACAGTTGGAGCTGGAGAGGCTAATGTAGGAAAGTCAGGAGAGGAACCATGTGGGCCAAGCGGAAAGTGAAGAAAGGAAAGTGGCTGAATCACTCCAGGGTGCTTATCTATTGCTGTTGTAGCGAACTACCCCCAACCTCAGGGGCTTTAAATAATAATTATTTTATTTATATGCCTTGATTTTGTGAGTCAGGAATTTGGGCAAAGCTTGGCTCGACGAGTCTTCTGTTTCTTGTGGCGTTGGCAAAGGTATTCAGCTAGTGGAAGGTCCGTTCCGAATGGTCCAAGGCAGCTCTACTCCCATAGCTAGTGCTTTGAGGGGACAGGGGGATGGCTGGAAGCCTGAGCTCTACGGGGACAGTCAACTGGAGCCCTTCATGTGGTCTCCCCAGCATGTTGGTCTCAGGGGAGTTGGACATCCTATGTGGTAGTTCAGTGCTCCCAGAGAGAATGTCCTAAGGGGTCTTGGCTGAAGCTTCAAGACATCTTCATCTCACAATGTCATATTCTACTGGCCAAAGAAGCCACTAAGACTAATACAGATGCAAGAAGAAGGGAATTAGACTTCCCCTCTGTAGGTAGGATAAGGACCTGTGGCCATTGTTACAGGTGAAGGGCCATAAACTCCTAGATCATCCTTGAATCCAGAATGCCATCTGGTTCAAGAATCCCATCCCTCTCACACCTCTCGTGTTTGGATTTCTGAGAGTGGCTGTCCCCTTCATTATGTATGTCCTTACAATAATGCTCCTGTACTTGAGTGAGCTACAGTGGGTCTCTCTCTTGCTTGTACACAATGAGCCAACCTGACCAAGTGGTGGGTCCTCGGCTCTTAGAAGAAAAATCCCAAGTATGGCAACAAAAAGTTATCCCAGATATGATCTGATAAAGCTGGGATAGGGAACCCCTAGCCTTGTCACCTTTCTGAGCCTCACTTTCCCCATCTGGAGCATGGAAGTGAAACTATTTGCTCTATTTACCTGAGTCATTGTAACCAAGTAATGTGAGACTCTTCCTGTCATTTGCTTGATCTTGCTGTAGTTTGTATCATGACACCCGTGCCCTTGATTTGGAGTCACTGCACAAATGTGCACAGGAGAGTGAATTTTCCTCGTTACTTCCTGCCCCTGTGATGTAGGCAAGCTATTTCTCCTAAGGAAAACAGTGATAGATGGTTGAAATTAAGTGACCTTTAAGGACCTCTCAGCTCTGAAATTCTAGGATTCTGGGAGGGTCTGGGAAAAAGGACAAGGTTGGTACAAAATGATTCAGGGGCAAGTGGGCAGCTCATTGGTGGTGAATGATGGAGGCAGCCCCAATTGGAGTGCATAGTGGGGTTGATGGAGCCAGGAAGGAACCCAGAGATTGTGAGGGGATCGGGTAGGGGAGCAGAGGAGGGATGGTAGGCCGGGGTGCCGAGAAGCAAAAAGCCAAGTTCATACGGTGGTTGACCAACTTTATTCCTCCTTCTTCATCCTCCTCCCCCTTCCTTGAGCCTTCTATGGTTTTCAGCCCTCTAGGCCTGCACATGCTGTGTTCCCTCTGCTTGGAAGACCCGCTCTGCCCTGGTAGGCCAACCCAATCATTCGTTGGGTGTCTCCTAAATGCCTCTTCTTTAGAGAAGTCATCCCTGAATCTCCAACCCAAATAAGAACATGCTCTTACTTTCTTTCACAGCCTTAGTTGTATTGATAATGATGTGCTTCCTGGTGTAATGATTAGATTAGTGTCCATCTCCCCCACTTAGCAGAAGCTTCCACGAAGGTGGTATTTGGCCAGTGTTTCTTGAAGGAATAAATGAATGAGGACACTGAATTCATTGGGCTGGAGACCGGAACGTAGGTTCCCACTGTCGGGGAGGCAGAGGAGGACCCATAACGGCCGGTGGCAAAGAGAAAGGCTCTTCCCCCTGACCTGAAAAGAACCCCAGCAGCTCACTAGCGCCCCCTCCCGGCCCACCTGCCGCCCCACACACAGCCGGACCCGAAGCACTAGAACACTGCAGCTTTATTTATTGAAACATCCGCGTCCGCAACTAGAGGTTACATTTCGGGGGGCTTGGGGGTGAAAGAGGAACAAAGGGGGGGACAGAGGCTGGGGTGGAGACAGAGAGCAAGGCAAAGGGGTGAGGACGGGGTCGTGTGACTACAACGACCCCAATACCTTTCACCCAATAATGAGGGTCTCCTGTTGTGCTTTTACCTTGGTGGTGGGGTGAGCCTGGGCATGGAGGGGTTGGCTTTTCTCTTACGTCTATGAGGCCTCAAGGCTGGAGCAGTCCCCTCCTTCCCCTGCCCCTTCTGGGTTGGGGATAAAGGCCTTGGTGAACTGGCCACCTGGGGCAGGAAGGGTGCTTGGAGGCCACAGGGGCAGAGGGCCCTGCAGAGTCAAGCTGAGATTGTGATTATGGGTGCGGTGGTGGGGGGTGGGGAGGTGCCAGGAGGGCGGGCACGTCTAGCGGAGCCCCTGGGAAACGAATGCAGGTGACATGAGGGAGGGGTGATGGTGGACAAGTGCCACATCTCTCTGACCTCAGCTTTCTCACCTGTACAGTGTGGGCACTGGATTAAATGGTCTCTAAGGTCCTTTCCAGCTCTAAGGGTCCAGGGATCTCTAGGAAAGAGTGGTCCTTCTACTCCAGCACATACCCTCACACCTATTCACACGCCTCACACACACATTCCCTCACACACATTCATATGCACACCCCCCACCCTCACCCTCACAGACACACAGCCTCACACATAGCACTGACTCAACAGAAAGGGGCGTGCTATCTTGCCTGTGGAAATGAGGAGGGCTCCCCAGAGCCCAGAACCTCAACCAGGGGCCCCACAGGGACTCCCCAGTGCAGGCTCATTCACCCCTTTCCTTGGGACAGACCTTGGAAACCACCCCCCCCAACCCCCTCGAATCCAGGGAAAAGAAAATACAAGAATTTGTACACTCTCACCCCTGCCTTCCTGGTCCTCAGGGGTAAGTCCACAGGATGAGGACACAAGGACACACTGACCTTCATTCGGAGCCCAGGCTTATGTGAAGACAGAGGGCAGGGAGGGGAAACAGTCCCTTCTGTCTGGGAACCTGGGCAGTAGCTAAAGCCTGGGTGGGCAGAGGGATGCAGCTTTCACAGGGCACCCAGGCCTGATCTGGTGTGGGAGGGGCGGTGGCCTGGGATGAGAGGCCAGAATTTGGGGCAGGGAGGGAGCACCTTTCCTAGAGCAGGTGCCCAGTCACATCTGTACCAGCACCCAGAGACAGGGCTGTCTGGCTGCCAGCAGGAGGCAGTGGCCAGCAGTGTGACACCCTCGGGGCTGTAGAGCACAGCTTCCAAGGCTGGCTCCACCCCAACTAGCCATGTGACCTTGGGCCAGCCCCCCCACCCCTGCTCCTATCCATTTACAAGGTGAGGGGCTCAGACCTCTGAGGCCCACCCTGGCCATGAGAGCCTGAGCCAGCGAGCACAGGGAGAAAGAATGAAAGGGAAAGAGGCGGCAGAATATCCCGGAGAAGGCAAGGTGGGAGGGGCATTCCAGGAGATGGGCGTGTGGTCCGCAGGCTTAGCTGGGCACCCTGGAGGGCTGTCTGTGGTCCCAGGGGCAGGACAGCCAAGCTGAGACTTCCCCTCTCCTAACTGTACAGCACCGGGCCCTAGGGGTCTCCCCAAAACATCAAATCAGGGGCAACAGGGCTAAACAAACCCCAACACCATGAGGGCTGACCCTGGACTCCCTGTTTTAAGGCCACAAAATGCCTCAGCCACCCTGACCCAGAGGGCGAGACTGCCCCAGGGGGAGATGCACTGGATCCTGCCAGCCTGGTCTCCCCTGGGCTGGGGGTCCTGATGGGCCACCTACCAGCACAACGGTGCTGACACCCACAGGCACTCAAAGACACACACAGCACAAGTGACACTGATACAGAGGTGCTGAATCACAGGCACACACAGATGCACAAAGACACTCCTTCCTTGCAGACCCCATCTTCCCCCCGCCCTCCCCCCCCACACACTGACTGGCACACTCTAAGTGCTCTCATCGCACACTGTTAATGCTAATACACAGTGACACCCACACTCCCTGCAGACCTGCCTGCATGCACACACACACACACACACACACACACACACCAGCCTCACCCATCCACACGTGAGGACCCAGGACCTCAGTGTCCCAAGGAGGAAGTACCTGGTGCTTTTCATCCCTGGATCTCCATACCCACCCCAGCAAGGGCACAAAGGAAGCACTTGGCAGGTGATAGGCCACTGGTTCCCACTCCCGGGTTCTTCTGGGGAGCTTTTAAACATTTCTGATGCCAGGCTGAACACCAGCCCAATCAAATCAGAACCTCTGGGGGTAGGACCCAAGCATCATGGCTCTCTAAAAGACCCTCGGGTGGTTCTCTTCTGCAGCCAGGGCTGGGAACCACCGATTAATATCATCCTTCCCGCTGGGCAAAGCCTGCTGTGGTTTCCATAACAGGCCCACTTACTTGTGCTGGGCGTTGAGGTTGGGAGCGGGGGTGGGGGAGAAGGTTGGAAGGCTCAGAGGAGGAGCTCACAGTCTAGTCGGGGCAGCAGACCCTGCACAGATGGGACAATTAAGGAACAATACCCAGCCAGCGCGATGGAAGTGTGTTCTGGGAACCTGGAGCCACTCGTTTAGGACCGAGGCCTCGGCTGGGCCAAGAAGGCAGCCGGGCTGGTCAGGCGTCAGAAGGCCCTGCTCCAGGCCTGGCCCAGCCCCCTGCCAGCTGTGGGTGATGATGATCACACAGGCCTGTCCCCTGGCCCCCTGCCCGCCTCTTGGCATTGCGGTGCTGCCCCTTCTGGGCAACTGTCCCTGCAGAATGCTCCGGGTGAATCCCTGTGACAACCCCCACCAAAGGTGCTTGCATTTCAATAGGGTCATCTGTAAACTCTTTGTCATCTAGAGGGGATGAAAGGTAGAAATTCAGGCGGTGGCAGGCAGCTTGAGACTACAGACTAGGGCCGGAAGTGGTATATTCCACCAGCCCCCTACAAACACTCGTGTCCCCCCTGAAGGCTGACGTGCATGCCGACATCCACAGGCACACACTGAGACAGGGTTTAGACCCGGCCTCACAGACAGATATGTGTAATTGCACATGCGGACTCATATTCGCACACACTGCTGCCCAGAGACGTCCCCACAGTGCTACACAGACACAGATCGGCCCACGCACGTGCACACATGTGCGCACACACACAGCCACACGTACGCAAGCGTGAAGGCTCACCCTGGAAAGAGCTGGTCCTCATCTCCCCCATAGACGGCTGGTTGGGGTCTCACGGGTGATGTTGAGAAGGACAGGTCTAGATTCCACCCTGCCCATCTAGGTTCCCATCCCAGAACCCAAGGACAGGGAGCCCTTTCATGGATCAGGGCATGAGCTCGGCTCCCAGGCAACATGGAGGCCAGCAACTGCCCCACCCTCTGCTGCTGCTCTACAAACCACCACACCCCCCCCCCCCCCCCCTTCACTGACCCTGGGCAGGGAAAGGAGCAGCCAACTAGACAGTGCTTTTCAGGGGCACCCCCTCTATGTATACCCTCCTATCCAGGGCACTCCTTCATGCCAAGTGTATAAGAAATGAAGTTTCCACTCTATTCCCAAATGCCATGGGGGCACAAACTCACAAAAGCAGGCTTTCTCCTCTGCCCCTCTCAAAGTCAAGCCTCACCCCAGAAAACAGCCGGCCTCCAACCCCTCCTGGCTCCTCGGAGACGCAGGTGGGTGCTGAATTCAGGCCAGCTGACTAGGGTGGGGACTGTGCTCTCAGGAATCCAGCTCCTCGTAGGGTGGGGTGGGGGTTGGATGGGGTAGAAGGGAAAGTGTCAGTCTTCAGACTGCCCAGGCCCAGGACCCTGTGCTGGGTCCCTTCAAAAGGGTACATCGAGGTGAGATATGACGTCCAAGGAACAGGTCAAGGGATCAGGGCGACCTGGGATCTCCACCTTCCAGCTCTCGCCCTGTAAACAGAGGTGCGTGCAACAGGCGCCTGACCTCCCTCGCCATCACCTGCACGGGGACATTCACGGAGCTCACAAAGTACCCCCTGGCCTCCCCCATCCCAGGGAGTCCCAGAGTCCAGCCAAGGGTGGGGCTCCTGAGTCTGCTCCTCTGCTGGCTCCCGTCTGGTAAAGCCACTGGGCCGGGGCTCAGCCTTGAGTTAGGAATGTGGGAAGGTCAGAAACACGCCACAGGTGCAGTTGGACAAGGCCTATGTGGCGCCGAGGTCTCTGGGGTGGTGGACGCCATTCGGGCGAGTCCCTTGTCTCCGCAGAAAAGAAGGTGCTGGCAGGTCGGATAGAAACTTGTGCTTTAATATATCTCTGTGTGTGTGAGTGTGAGTGTGTGAGTGTGTGCGTGTGTCAAACGACTGTCTCCGGGGCCTCAGCGCCGGGCCTCTGTCCTTGTTCTCTGCTCATCCTCGCAGCCAATGCAGGCCCCCTCCCTGGCGGGCCGGCCCTGCCCCTGGGCACCCCGGCTGGCGGGGGTCAGTCTTTGGTACGATGCGGACACTTTGGTGTGCCGGGGGCCGGGTGGGGGGGGGGCCACGCAGCTCTCATCATCTCTGCAACGCCAAGAGGAAGATGACCATGGGCCCCCAGAGCTGTGGGTGGGGCTGGCGGGGGGCTCCACTGCCTGGCATCACCACCACTGTGACAGGAGAGAAAAGGGAGACAGGCCAGGGCTCTGATCAGCTCAGCATGTCAGGGACTAGCAGGCTTCCCCCTCTCTCTGGGGGACCTAAAGTGAGACACTGCCCTCACTGTGCACAGACATACTTGTAAGCACAGACGTCTGGTGGCGTGGGGTGGGGGCTAACTTTGAGCCTGAGAGGGTCCAAATCCTGGCTCTGCAGCTCACTAAGACACGGAGCAATTCACTGGCCTCAGTGGGCCTCAGTTTCCCCATCTGTAAAATGAGTCTAATAGTATGTGCTACCCCAGAGGGCTGTCATCAGGGTTAAATGAGATCAGATACATGTAGGGCTTTGTACTTTGCCTGGTACATGGTCATCACTCAGCAAATTCCAGCTGTTATAACTGCAAACACCTGGCCCTGGGGGGTGGGGCACATGTTCACATCTGCACCCACACATACCTGGACGCAGACACAGGAGGCACTCGGGTACTGTAAATAACTCAGTAAGTTCACAGGAGGGCAGAGGTTAGTCTTCTCCTTGCCCTACATATGCCCCATAACCTGAGCCAACGTGGAGCCCAAGGTGGGTACCAAACACACCAACACCTGCTCACATAGTCACTGACGCACGCATCCCACCACCTAGTCACTCTGAACCACCATTCAGACACCGGCACCTTCTCCTGATACGGACAGGTGCCTACCTACACAGCTCCCCATAGATTCGGCTCCCCCTACCCCTTCCCATCTGGCACCTTTGTTGGGATCCATCTGCTTCCGGGGACATTCTCCCTTCTTCAGCGTGACGTCATCTATGGCAATATCCCCCAGGTAGCCAGAGCCTCGAACACCCTCAAAAATAATCTGGGGCGGGGTCAGAGAGCAGGGATTAGGGGTGTTCTGCCATGCAGAGCCCCCGATCCCTTCCCTTCAGTCCACTTGAAAGCCCCCCCCCCCACCCTGCCTGAGTTTCTCCCCAGCTCCCCAGAAAGAGCATGAAGTCCTCCTAAGTGCTCCCTGGTCAGAGCAATGGCCCAAGGGCCGGGAGAACCTCGGGGGCCCCCACACCCGGTGACTCACCTGGAAGGGCCCACTGGGGTTGATGGGCACGTGGGCTTGCTGCCACACGTTGCCCTTGTTGCCACTGAGGGACCAGGCGTGCGTGTCCAGGGCCCCTTTGTTCCGGGACCGCACCAGGAGGTTGAGGGAGCCTGTGGTGGGTATGGAGAGGAGGGGGCAGTGAGGTCTGGACAAGGACGCCCCTACCCTTCCACATTCCCCAAACCCTCCTCTCTGCCACTGCCCACAGCACCATCCCAGACTGGTTCACTGAAGACAGCAGCACGGCTTCAATTCATTGGGACAACTTGCAAATTTTCATTCATTTCTTCCCTTCCTTTCTTTGTTTTTTTTTTTTTAATGTATATTTATTTTTGAGAGAGAGAGAGAGAGAGAGAGACAGAGCGTGAGCAGGGGAGGGGCAGAGAGAGAGGGAGACACAGAATCCGAAGCAGGCTCCAGGCCAGCTCTGAGCTGTCAGCACAGAGCCCAACGCGGGGCTTGAACCCATGAACTGTGAGATCATGACCTGAGCCAAAAGTCAGTGGGACTTAACCAACTGAGCCACCCAGGTGCCCCTCTCCCCTTCCTTTCTAGTCAACCAATCCTCCCCCCACCCCGGCATACACACACACACACACACACACACACACACACACACACACACACACACCTTCCTCCTCTCAACAGTGGAGTTATCCCAGGGTGGCAGGGCCGATGACTGAGCACAAAGCAGGATTCCCAAAGCACACAGTGCATACCCCTGGCAGGGCATGATACATGGGATGATTTCTGGAGGCATGGGGATGGACTTTAAAAATTTTAAGTTTTCAATACTTCTATGTATGTTTTAAGAAATGAATAAAGCCAGTCCTTCCAACTCACAGTTTCTCTAATACTGATGCTTAGGACAAAGCTAAGACAAGAGGAGTGAGTTGCTTTAAAGAGAGATGTTAGTATTTGTGCTACACAGCCATGGTAAGCACAGTGAAAGTAAAATTTTGAGGGCATTAGACGGAGGGTGCTGAGGCCCATTGCCCACAGCCACAGAGGCCTGCAATTCTGGAGGTGCTGGGGGCCCCGGAAAAGAAGGAGGGAATCATGGCTTGGCTAAGAGCACCCAGGCGATGTCATGCCCCTTCCTGGCTCTTCCGGCCCACCTCAAGCCCCCAGTGATGTGAAAGACCTAGCTCAGAGGGAAGGGGAATCAATCTTAGACAGTGCCCGGTGGCTGGCATTTCCATGGCGCTGCCCACAGACAAAGGCACACCATCTGTGACACCAGATAGACAGACCCCCGGTGGGAGAGAGCCACCAAATGTTACCTGCCTGAGATGAAAGGAGTTGGCTTAGACTGAGGAGAGCCAGCGAGACACAAGGTCTGGGGACAGCTGGTGCCCAGAGCTGCCAGGTGGGGTAGCAGAGGAAGGGAGAGGAGGGAACTGGACAGCAAGAAACACCCCCTCCCAAGCAGCAGAGCTAGGCCTGGGTGGGGACCCTCACCGGCAGATGGGGCCACGACAGGGCTGCAGCAAGCTTCCAGGGGGCCAGGAGGCAAGCCCCAATACTTCTCAGGCTCCTCACCAGCTCCAAAGGGGCCTTTCTCTCTTCCCTGTCCTGGAGCTCTTCCCCCTGTTCCTATCCCCCTCAATCTCCACCTTTTCTTCTTCCTCCACCACCCTGCCCCCAGGACACTAATGTGGGAACCCCTCCTTTTTACTACTTAAACAAAAATTGGGTTTCTGTCCTCTCCCCCGAGCACCCCATCATCTCCAGCATCTCCCCTGCTCAGGGGGCTTCCGGACCGCCTTTCACAGGGATCAGCCAGGGCCCAAGACCTTCAGCCTCCCTTAATGGTGGGCCTGCTCACTTCATTCTTCCCTATCTTCCTTGCCTCCTGCAAAGCCAAAGCGGACTACATGCTGGAGCCTAGACATACCCCAGCTTTCCAGCCTCTGGGCTTTTGCTCAGGCTTTTCCAGCTGCCTGAGACTCCCTCCCCTACCACATTCCCCTGGCCAAATCCTTCTTGCAATGTCCTCTCTTCCAAGAAGTCTTCCTAGGCTTGAGTTGGGAGCCCTCTATGCGTCCTGTGAACCCTGGGTCCTTCAACTGCAGCCCTCCAGGCCCAGACCACTCTCTGCTCTGTGGTGTGATAGTTATTGGGATTAACGTCTCCTCCTCATTTGACTCTTTGAGGGAAAGTCTGCATCAAACTGGTATTGGTTCTCAATAATTAAATGCTGACTGAAGAACCTTTCATGACTATGCTCACAACTGAAAAAGGACTTTCATAGAGCCTCATGGTTAGAAGTTACTTTGGGTTCATGAATCTCAGACCTCCCTCTCATTCACTCATTCAACTAATGAAGCACCACTATGTGCCAAGGGCTGTTCTAGACACTAGAGATACATCAGTGAATAAGACAAAGACCCCTGCCTTCCTGGAGCTTACATTCTATTGGTGATGGGCATGATAAAGATAATAATGCAGGGAAAGGAATAAAGAGGTATTTCAGTTGGGGCTTTCAGGGACCTCTCTGAGGAGGAGACCTTGAATGAGGGGAGGAGAAGAATGTTCCGGTCCAGGGAACATCATGAGCAAAGTCCTCTAAGGCAAGAACCTGCCCTGAGTATTTAAAGGAGAGCAAGGAGCCCAGTGTGCTCAAGCTGAGTAGGAGCCAAGGGGGAGAGTGGCAGAAAATGAGGTCAGAGAAGGAGGCAGGGACCGGATCAGGTACTAGAGGCCTAGAAAATATGGTGATGAAGAGGGCAGAGCAGGGCAGTAACATGACATGGGACAGGGGGCCCCTCCATGGCATCCCTACTGGAAAGTCCTCCTGTCCAGATCTGATGCTTACAGAGTCTTCCTCAGGAAGGCCAAATGAGGAGCCAAATGGAAACGACAGGCCTGGGCAGCGCAGGGCTGGTCACCCAACCCACCTACCCCACAGGAATCTTCCCACAAATTCCAGACCCAGCCACGAGTGCAATGGTCTGGGTGGATGGTCTGGAGGCCCCAGTGGACGCAGAACCTTCCATCCTACCCCATCCTGGCTAATCAGTTCAGCATGACCCACTACTTTAGCTGGGAGACTTGTCCATAAAGAGCCATTAGGTCTACTCTTGCTTAAAGTCACTTCCTCTACTGTGAAACTTTCTGTGGTCTGATAAGGCATGATCCCCAAGATGTACAGTTCAGAGGGAGAAGCAAGACACAGAACAGTGTGTATAAAAGGGGGCAAAATCAAACACACAGGTACTGGCTTCTGTAGGCATAAAGTGTTTCTGGAAACTTGCCCCCAAGTCTAAGTGCAGTGGTTGCCTGTGGGGAAGGGTTCTAGGCAGCAGGAGGACTGAGACGAGCAGGGGGCTCTCATTATGTACCTTTCGTACCTTTGACCCATGCAAAATACATGGCCTGTCCCCTAAATAAGTGAACAAACAAATAATAAAAATTGTAAAGACTGTCACTTCCTCAGCAGAGTTTTCCATGACTCAGCCCCCACAGTCAGTCCCTGTTACCCGCTGTCTTGGCCCCTGTCTTGCTGTGGACATGTGTCACAGTGGCTGCTCAATCTTATCTGCTGCAATTAGCTGTTCAATGCCTGTCTCTCCCACTTGACTTCGGGCGTCCCGAGGATGGGAACTGGTCGGTCCTGTTCGTAGCAGCGCCTGATGCCTGGCCCCAGAGCAGGAGCTCTGGAAGCGACGGCTGAATGATGAGTTCGTTGATTAATGTGACTCTCCTACCATCTCTTTCCAAGGGCAAATGTACACCCACACTTAAGAAGCAGGACTTCCTCTCATTGCTCACAAAACAGCACCCTCCCAATTCTGTGTTTAGGGCTTGGGGGAGGAAGACAACTCGGGTTGCTGTGTGATCTCGGGGAAAATGCTTAACCTCTCTGATTTATATGGTAACACCGCCCTCGCCTGTTGGTTGTGAGAGATAATGAGACCACGGAGACAGAGCTCCCAGAGCTCACCTGGCGCCTGACAGGCACTCAATACGTGCAACCTCTTACCTGTTTTCTCTGTCTCCTCCAAGACTTGCATGTTGTCCGGCTGGAGCCATTTTCTTTGCAGACTCAGGAAGCCTTCATCATCTCAAAACCTCAGACAAGCTGGCTCTGCCTTCCTCCCTTGCCCAGATTCTGCCCACACCCCCTCCAAGGATATGTGATTCAGCTAAGCTGGGAAGCCCAGGCCTCACATGGGCCAATACCCAGCCTCCTGTGGACTCCCTCTCTCCTTCCAGCCCCAGCAACGCTTGGGCAGACCACCTGGAGCTCCGACTCACCAATGTGCTTCCCGTACATGTGGTAGAAAAAGGAGACGCAGTAGAACTTAGCGCTGGCATTGTACAAGGGACTCACCAAACGGGCTCGGTCCCCCAGTTCCCGAGGCCTTGATGTCTCAATGAACATGTAGTAGCCTGTTGGGAAGGGGCAGATGCACCAGCAGCCTCCGCCTCACCCCACACAGGCCTCTTCCCCTCTGATTCCTTCACTGCCTTGACTTCATCTGACCCCCATGGCACCTTGTCCGCCCTGCCTCACAGCACAGCACCGGAGTCTGGGCCAGTTCTGAGCTCTACTGGACTCTCTCTTCTTCCGAATCCCCGTGAAGACAGAGTTGTGTCTCCCCCTCAAATTCGGGTTCCTTGAGGCAGGGCGCTGTCTCCCCTCAGACTGGGTCTCCCTGAGGGAAGGGCTGTGTTCCCCCCGCTCAGACTGGCCTCCCTGTCACTAGACCCCTCCCTGAAGCTGTCCTTCATTCGTTGCAGCAGGCCATGTCCTCACCCTCAGGGGTACCGCTGATATCAGTGGGGGGACCGGTGTTGGGGGAGCGCTTGGGATTCTGGGTGAGGGCGTTCTGCCGTGTCCAGTCAAAGTTGTCTGTCAGGTCCTGGGTGTAGCCACAGATCTTCTCATCTTCAAAGTGGCAGGTGTTGTCTGCTTTGGGGTGAGGGTGGGGATGAGACAAAGAGGGTCAGGCTCCTTGGGTCCCCTGGTCCAGCTTTGCCCTCCCTGGCCACCCCAAGGCAGGTCCCGTGCATCCAAACGGTGGACCCAGGACCTCAGGGCTTGAGAAAGCAGGCAACTGGGACCCTGACAAATTTGTTCCCAGAACAGAACTTCTTAAACTTTGTGCACCACAGACCCTCTGTCATCTAGTAAAGGCTAAGGACTCCATCTCAGAATAATAATTTTAGATGCATAAAATGAAATACACAGGGTTACAAAGGAAATCAATTATGTTGAGATACAGCTGTCAAAATATTTAAAACACAAATCCGTGTTGTAATAATAATAAGTGGGCTTCTTTATTATCTAATTAAATAACAAGATCTAGTGTTGGGTCTAATAACTGCTGTGGTTTTGAAGTTCTAATGAATGTTAACGATATTTAGAAATAGCTGTAACAACTTTAAGGTGATGTGAAAGCACCAGGTTTGTACTGATGACAAAGTCACAGGTAGTGATGTTACCACTGCGGTTTGTCGCCTACGTTCATCATTGAAGGAGATGTTAAACTTCTGCTAGAAGTTAGGGAAAATGAAGAAGTAATTGTATGCCCTTCCATGTTCCAGGATCACGGACCCCCCTGAATTCTATCTATATACAGATCCTTTGTGGGGAGCAGCTTCCTGGGTCTCAGATTAAGTACCCCTGCCAGAGAGAACAGGGGATGTGGATTAGCCTGGTCTCTATTTTTCTTTTAAGGACTGTGAATGGTACTGGCTGAGGAGGAAAGGCCCTGAGTTCAAGATGTCTCCCATCCCTGACCCCCCCCCCCCCCAACCACCTGTAAGCCCCAGAATAAACCCTGGATATACATGTCTCCAAGCCCAGCCCTGTTCCCCTTGGCTTCTCCTTCCAGCTGCTGGCCTCCACCCATTTTCTGAGTATCTCTCAGGGTCTTTTCCTCCCACCACGGGAGTCTTTGTGTCCCCAAAGGGAAGAAGAAGTGGGAGGGAGTTGTCTCACCTGACAGGTTGGGAGAGTTGATGGCTGAGAAAGAAAGTAGGAAAACCAAGTCAGAACTGAGGTGTGGGACTGCACAGAGGGTGCCCAGGCTTGGCACCAGGGGACAGGGTTCCCGAAACCAGGACTGGGGTCCAGAGGGGTGACAGAGTAGAACACGACACAGTGGGGGGACCCAAGCTCTGGACCCATGTGGTGAGGTTGGAAGGGGTCCCCAGGGTATGGGATGCCCCCCTCCCCCCTTACCACCACCACCACCACCACCACCTACGCTCTGTGTAGTGAATGATGCGGGAGGCCATGTCACCAGCCCCGAAGGTGGTGTAGGGTGTGAGGCGGACCTCGTAGCTGTGGGGCACACGGAGGTCGGTCAGAATGTACTCCAGCAGCTGCCCCTTCTCCACGCGCCGCACTGGGATGGCCTTCACCATGGCGTTGTGCTGATTCAACTGTAGATACAGGGAGTTCCCAGATGCCCAGCGGGCCACACCCTCCACCAGAGCACCAGCCCAGGCCCTGGTGAGACTTGGAGGGTGGGGTGGGAGCAGTGTCAGGGAGCAGAAAGCATAAAGGACTAAGAACCCAGACCCTCAGTTTCCCCATCTGTGAGATAGGACAATCACTCCTTCTATGCCTGCCTCCTAGGGCTGTCTTAGTAAACGATAGCAACACGTACTGAACAACAAAAGTGTGCTGGGAGCTATGCAGAGTAATTTGCCATTATTAACTCATTTACTCCTCAAAATAACACTTTTATGAGGTGGAACATTATAATTACTCCTATTTTACAGATGAAGAGACTGAGGCCAAACAGATGCAGTTTGCCCTAGCTCATACAGAGCTGGATTCTAGCCTAGGCAGTCTGCCCCAGAGCCACACTTTTACCCTCCACACCTAATGCCCCTTGGGCAGAACTACACCGAAGGAGACTATACAAAACATCCGCAAAGCTCTGGCCTTGCATTCTAGAGATCCTGTGGACAAGACTGACCCCACCCCCCACCTTAAGCTCCTGGCGTAAGGAAAGGCCAAGGAAAAGCTCCTGACCCGAGAGCAGATTCTACATTTTGGGAACACAGCTGGTGGCTCTGCCCTTTTTCCTGTCTGAATCCAGCAGACCCAGCCCAATTCTCAAGCCTGTGCCCAGAGCAGGAGTCCAGAGGGGGCAGGTCCCTAGAGCCTCCCAGTTTCTGCTGCTGTGTCCAGAACACTTTCTAGGTCTGAAGAGTTGTCTATAAGGGGGTCCGGCCCTGCCTCCAACCCCTTCCCACGGCTTGATGGACATTCCCAGGGTCAGCTTGCACCCGGGCCCCTGTCCCCCTTGGCCCACCTGGCGGACACTGAGTCTGTAGTTGAGCAGGGGGTCGACAGCGTCAGGCTCCCTCTGGGTCCACTGCAGCACATAGGAGTAGTTCTTGGACAGCTTGTGGCTGCGGGTGGGGTTGGGGGTGTCGAAGTAAAACTCCGGGCTGTAGGCTTTGGCTGAGAGGATGGGGATGGGGGCGTGGGGCCGGGGAGGGTGGGGGATGGGGAGAGATACAGAGAGAGGGAGTGCCGGAAAGGGAGACAGAAGAAGATGGCGAGGAACAGAGAGAGGGCATGGGGAGACAAAGAGAAAGGGAATATAGTGACAAGAGGAGACGGTGGGAGAGGAGGAGATTGGGAGAATGAGGTGCAGTCACAGGGAAGGTGGGAAATGGAGAAAAGGGAGATTGGGAATTCCAAGAGGTAGTATTGGTGAGAACAGAGAGGAAAGGCCAAGGAAAAGCCAGAGAAAAGAGAAATTTGGGAAGACACGGGGGAGGGATATCAGAGAGGACACAGGGAAAGAGGATGGGGGAAAAGACACAAAGAAGGGTAAGGACATTGAGGTACGAGGAAGAGAAGACAAAGGAGAAGGACAGAGAGAGACAAAAAGGTGGGGAGACAAGGAAAGTATGGGAGAACAGGGGAGAGGGGAAGGAGGTGGGAAATGTCACAGGGGCCTCTGGCTGGCAGGGCTGGGTGGGGTGGGGAAGGGCTGGGAAGTGACCCGTCCTGGCCCCCTGCTGTTGAGTGAGGAAATCCAAATGAGGACTAAAGGGGCACCCAGTCAGTAGGGGCTGTTGGGAGAGCTTGGGGTGCAGTAGAAGGGCACAGGCACAACTGTGGCTCTCCTCCTGGGGTGCTGCCACCAGGTCTAGCGGTGGGGAACCAACTCTCCCTCATGAAGAGGGGGGGGGATCAGCAACTCCTTCGGCCACTATGCATTCCCCTCGGCCCTCACCTCAGCCCTTTGACTCACCCAGGCCCGCCTGCAGCCCCAAACAGCCCACCCGGGAGTGACTTGATGATGAGATGGGCTGAGAGGGATTCCTGGGTACGGAGGGGCCTGAATCTGTGGGGTGACAGCTCAGGAAATGTGTGCTGGCAGGACTAGAGCCACCCACGACGTTCCAGAGAGGCTGCTGAGGGTCGTCTTCTCTCCTCTAAGCTACAGCTCTGGCCCCTCATATTGGGCCTGGGGTCACGAAAAGAGGGAGTCCCCCATCCGCAGCTTCTGGGGCCACGGATTAAAGAGGAGGGGCTTGAAACGTGATGGTTGGGATGGGGCGGTGCCCAGGACCTGAGTGGGCGGGTTTAAACCTGGTGTGGGTGGGGCTGGAGCTTACCTGCTACCAAAAAAAAAAAAAAAAAGCAAGAAATGGAGAGCTGGGATTGGACGAGACTAGAAGGGGTGGCGCCTATGCTTCAGGCAACTAGGGCCTAGGCGTGGTGTGGGCGGGTCTTTAGAGGGAAGGGCCCAAACTTGGTGCTCCAGGGACTGGAGGGGAGAAGTCTAAACCCGGGGAAGGAGGGGTTTGAGAGAGGCAGGGCTGTCCGAGGCCAAGGAACGGGGCTGAGCTAAAACGGGGGCGGGGGGAGGGGGGCTTAGGACACGTACAAGCGGACCTTGAGACGATCTACACCTGGAGTGGGCGTGGGCGAAGGGATCTAGCCTGTCTGTAGGGGTCTGGCTGTAAACGACGTCATGGTTAGGTCCGGGCGGCATGGGCGGGGCCTAGACCTGGCATGGGCGGGTCTTGGGAAGGCAGGGGCCTGAACCCAGTACGGGCAACTGGAAAGGGGCGCGGCCCAGTCCGGGAGTGGGCGGGGGGTGGAGTTGGGGCGGAGTCTGGTCCCAGGTGGGCGCGGTTGGGTGGGGCGGGACCCACGGGACTCTCACCCGAGACCTGAAAGAGGCAGGTGGCCGAGCCCACGTCATTGGAGATGCTGCACTCGTAGCTGCCGCTGCTGTCGCGGGTGACGGCGTCGAGGCGCAGTTCGGAGTGGTCGGGAGCCTCGGCGGCGACGGGGACAGCCGGCGGCGGAGGCAGCAGCTGCCCTTTGAAGCGCCACACAGCCGAGGCGATACGCTGGGGGCTGCCTCGGAGCAGCGAGCAGCGCAGCAACACGGGCCGGCCCAGCGCCTGGCGCACATCCTGGGAGCTGGGCTCCACCTCCGGCGGGACTGGGGGTGGGGGCGGCGGGGGCGGCGGTCAGCGGGGCCGAGTGGGGTTTGAGGAGCGGCCCCATTGAAGGCGACGCACTCGACCCTGCTCCCGCACCCCGCAGCCTGGAAGGATCTCAGAGCGGATACACGCTCGCAACATAACACAATGGCCACGCTCAGAACTCCCTGACCTGCAGATACCCACCCCGCTCCCGGCCATTTCCTCCAGCCGTGCTTCCCAGACTGGGCCTTTAGTCTTGCCTCAAAGGGTCCCCTCACCCCACCGTGTAGTGAAAAAGCAGCATAACGTCGGGGTTTAGAGCATGATCCCCGGAGCTAGTTGCCTTAGGTTCAAATCTCAGCCCTGCCTCAAACTAGCTAGTGAGGCGTTAGGCAAGTTACTTATCCTGGGACTCGGTTTCTCTATTTGTTAAAAATAAGGGAACGATAGAGTCCATTTATAGGGCTGTGGAGGGTTAAATAAGTTCATGCATTAAAATGCTCTTAGAGTAGGGCTTGGCACAAGGTGAGTTAACGCTCATCGTTATAGTCTCAGACACAACGTGCTCCCTTGAGAGTCTTTCAAACTCCCGTGTCTACCTGTCAAAATCAGTTATTTCTTTGCTCACTGGGTCCCTGGGAATGCAGATGGGGGTGGGGGGCACTTGGTATTGGAAGTGTGACAAGGGTCAGACTTCCCACCTTAGAACACGGGGGTGGCAAGGTTCTAGGGGTATCCGCAGTACTTGGAGGGGGCTGGTTGGACTGGAGTGTACGAAGGGGTGAAGAGGGGGGCAGGCCAGGCTGCGAACCGGGAGGGACAGCTCTGATGTGGTCCAGGTGGGGCGATGGGACTCACACTGCACGTTCAGCTGCACCTGAGCCTCGCGGGGGCGCACGTTGAAGCCATTATACCGTGCCGTCTGGCAGCGGTAGGTCCCACTCATGTCGCGGCTCACGTGCTCCAGCCGCAGCTTCCCGTCCGGAGTCTCCTCCAGGGGCAGCCCCGAGGGCAGCAGCGCTGCCTCCTTGTCCACGCGGGACCAGAGCACCGGCGGCCGCGGCTTGCCTCGAACCTCACACTGCAGCTCAGCGGGCGAGCCCTCCCGCACTGTCACCACGGCCCTGCCCTTGGGCACGCTGATGGTGGGCGGCACTGCGGTGGGGAAGCGGGTAGGAGCAAGGTTAGAGCTCCCCGCTAGCCTCTGCCGTGGGGCTTCTGCTCCCCTCCCCCTAGGAGCCTCCCTCGCGCATCCCAGATGTCCCAAAGATCCCTCAGCATCTCCAAAGCACAACTCGCCTCCCCCCATTCTCCCCACCTCCTGCACCCCTGAGGGTCTCCCAACTCGGAAAAAGGGCTGAAGTCATCTGGCCTATTCCTTCTTTCCCTTTACCCCAACAAAAGGGGGTTCCACTTTTAAACAGTTCTACCAAAGGATGCCTTCCCTCAACCCCCTCTCTCCTGCCCACTGGCCCTGCTCTAATTAAAGCTTCCATCTTGTCTTCTGGAGTGCTATTACAGATCGCTAGGCGGTCCTCCAACATCCTTACCCCTCCTCCCAAAGTAATAGAATGTCTGGAGTAACCATGATGTCCCCTAGCCTGCTAGCTGTGCCATGTGACCAAATTCTGGCCAATGGGATGTGACAGAAAATAAGGTTCTTCACAGGGAGAGGCTGTGCCCCTCTTCCCTTCCTTCTCCTTGGAGGCTGCGATGCAGATTGATGGCTGCAACTGGGACTGCCATTGTGGACAAGGCGGTGCACGCTAAGGGTCACAAGACAAGATGGAGCCTGGGGCCCTGAGGATCTGGTGGAGCAGAGCCATTATTCCAGCCCAGACTGCTCACTTTTACCAGAAAAAATAGTACACATCTACCTCGTTTAAGCCACTAGTAGCATTTCGGGATTTTCTGTTATTCACCGCCAAACCTAATCCAACCCAACACATCACCCAACTGGAGAGTCTTTTAAAGACTTCCATGGGTCCCATCCCACATGGCATGGACCAAATTAAAATGTCCGACATCAAATATGAATTATAAATAACTCTACAAGGCAAGCTGAGGTCCAGTTATCTAGTTAGCATAATTTATACTCTGTAAACATTTATACATGTGTTGGCTTTAATTTTACAGTTTTCTCTTTGTATTTTGGAGCCAATTAATTTCTTTTTCCGGGTCTGAATCATTGCCACAAGCCCTTAAAAAGCTTCCGTGCCGTAGGCATCAGGCTGATGAGCCAAATGGAGGAAATGGCCCTGCGCCCCGTTGATTTCCCTGTTTCGAAAACATCCCAGCTCCCCAACCTTCTGTGCCCTCACACGCTAAAGGGCTGTTGTCTCCCCGCTTTGAGGCTGCAGTGCCCTCAGGTTAAAACTCAAACTCCTCGCGTCTGCAAACCCAAGGGTCCTGTTCCCGTCTCTGCCTTTCCCACCTCATCTTCCCTCTCTCGTCCTGTATCCCAGCTATGGGATCCCCTTGTAAGGGATACTCTGCCCGGACACGAAGTCGTCTCCCTGTGCAAAAGTCAGGATTCGAAGGCACCTCCGAGGCCATCTGGTTCAATGTCTCACAGAGGTGAAACGGAGGCCCAGAGAATTAAAGAGGCTTAGTCAAAGTCAGCCAGCTCCTCAGTGCAAGGGGCTAGGGGCTGGAGATAAGATTCTAGAAACTCTCTCCAAAATTATCCCTTCCAAACTTCCGTCATGCATAAAATGAAAACCCTTCAGGTGTGGTTCTAAAGTCAGACTGCTAGAGTTTGAATCCCAGCTACACCACTTATTGTTTGTTACCTTAGGTAAGTCTCTTAAACTCTCTGAGCCCGTTTCTTCATCTCAAAACTGATGATAAACTATCCCATAAAGTAAACCATGAAGGTAAATGACATCAATATGAAATCATCAGAACACATAGTAAACACTCAATAAATGTTAGTCATTATTTCATTATTCTTATTTATTATTATCGGAATAAAGACCCAAATCCCTGCATGATCTTGCCCCTGCTGGCCCCTCCACTCTCTCACATCTCACTCCATTCTCCCAGTCGCACTCTCCTTGGGTGCTCCAAATGGCCCATGCGCTTACCTGCCCCAGTGCCTTTGCACATGCTGATTCTTTGGCCTGCCTTTCTCTTCCACCCTCCCTTGTTCTCCTTTGCCTAGTAAAACCTGCCCCTCCCTCAGATCTCAGATCAAACATTCTGAGGAAACTTTCCTGACTCTCACGTATCACTGTTTGCAGTCATATATTTATCTGTGAGACTATCTGAACAACGTTTGCTTTCCCACTTAGTTCAATGTAAGCAGAGCTTATCTGCCCACCACTCTACCCCCGAGCCTAGCACAATGCCTGGCATATAATAGGTGCTTAATAAATGTGTGCAACGTGAACAAATGGTGTTCCCCTCACTGTGGCCTCCTTTTTTCAAGCTACTGTCCCCACCTCCCCTCTGTGGGCCTCTCCGGCTCCCTCACACACACACCCCATGCTGCTTCAGCTGCCCACCTGTCTCAGAGGAGATGTTGACCTCGACGCTCAGGTCAGGCACTGGTGCCCCTGGGAAGGAGGCCACGCAGAGGTAGGTGCCATAGTCACTGAAGTGCAGGTCAATGAGCTCTAGGCTGCTGGTGACGGCAGGCAACTCAGGGTCGTTTCGGGTCACCAGCAGCCTCTTGGACATGCGTGCCGGCTTGCCATTCTTGAACCACTGGTAAGTCACCTTCTCCTGGGGCACCGCATCCACATGGCATGACAGCTTCAGGTCTTGGCCCAGCTGTATGTTCTCACTCTCTTTGATCACATCTGGGGTGATCTGGAACGTAGCATTCTTCATGGCTACAGGTGGATGGGGAGGGAAGGGTGGCTGGGGCTGGCCCAAAGCCAAGGCTCTATGTCCCACCCCCATCCAGACCCAGCTTCTCTCCTTGAACCAGCCCTCCCTGCAGGCTGGGGGCTACAACCCCATCCCACCCCCAAGAGAAACCATCACTTTACTTGGAAATTGCTCTGCTTGTTCAGATGCATTTTGAAAAGTTCAAAAAAGCTGGCTGTAGAAAAGCAGGTTTAGTAATTGTTCTAGCCACTGTTGACTGAACATCCACTATGTGAGAGGCACTGTTCTAAGCCCTTTACATGGGTTGACTCATTTAACCCATCCCACAGTCTTTGAGGGAGGCACTTTCCTGTCCCCATTTTACAAAGGACAGAACTGAGGCTCAGACAGTTTAAGGAACTTGCCCGAAGAAGTAGCCAACCTTGAATTCAGACTCAGCCTACGCTCTTAACGGCTGTGCTGCTTTATTTTTGTTCTTTTCTAAACCTTGAATATGCAAAATACAAATTTTGGAAAGATGTGCCAGAATGTACTAGTACTTCTATCTAAAGAGTGGAACTGAGGGGAAATTTTAATTTGCACATTTTATCCTTTTGTCCTGTTTGATTCTTTGCAATAAGTTTGTGTAATTTTTATAATGAAAGCCTAATACGATAATTTTACATGACGTTACATAAAAACACAGAGTTTAGAAAAATGAAAGGTCTAGCCTTTTTTGAAAAGTCTAAATGTTAAAAAAAAGAAAAAGAAAAAGAAAAACCTGAATATTGTTCTGACGTAGCCAAGAGGTAGACAGCATTCTTAATATTTGGGTGCGGATTCAATAGGACCGTGGGTACAATGGCCATGAACCAGGACTGGCCCGGGGCAAAGCAGGCTGTACGTCACCCTAAGAGGTAACCGTAAGTATTTGATGTAAATTGCAATCTCACGAACCCAGGTTTTAAAGGCCCCGAATGTAATTAGGTGGAGAAAAATAATCTGACAGAAGAAGAACCATCAGAGGAAGAAACAGTCATCAGCAACAATCTGGCTACTGTGTTTCTTGCTCTGGTTAAGTAAAAAGTCACTGAGAGCTAGCTGCTTTTTGTGAGAAGAGTCAGAGAGAGACTGGTTGGTGAGGGAAGAACAAAAGGAAAGTCCATTTCATCAGAAGATTCTCCACTGAATTTGACAGAAGCTGTACTTTATTTTCAAGTGCTAAAGAGCTGGAATCAAGCCTAGATCTTTAAAACTTTCAAATAAACAATAAACAAACAACCTAAGGTTACTCCTAAGTCAGAAGAATTTAAAGTTCTCTCTGTAAAGCACCTGAGCAAAATCAAGATCATACGGAGCAGCTAATGAGGCTGAAGTTTCCTAAGGGAAGTGTTTGTACTTCATTTGCGCCCCCAAGTTTTGTATCATTTTTACATTTACTAATTACCTTCAGACTCACTGACATGCTTTGCTAATAAAGATTTGCATATGAGGTATGTGCAAATGTATGTTACTTTCATTTTAACTCCATTAAAAAGGTAGAAACCAGGGGCGCCTGGGTGGCTCAAACGGTTGAGCGTCCGACTTCGGCTCAGGTCATGGTCTCGCGGTTTGTGGGTTCGTGCCCCGCGTCGGGCTCTGTGCTGACGGCTTGGAGCCTGGAGCTTACTTCGGATTCTGTGTTTCCTCCTGTCTCTGCCCCTCCCATGTTCATGCTCTATCTCTCACTGTCTCTCAATAATAAATAAACATTTTAAAAAATAATTAAAAAAATAAAAAGGTAGAAACCATTGTACGGGAAGAGAGGAAATTTCTCTTGCAGACTGGAATGTCCACATTTAGCTTTTCGCAGCCTCAGTTTCCCAATCTAAAAAAAAAAATGTAGGTAATCAATGCCAGCCCTTCTCCCTTCTTCCATTGTTGAGATGATATTTGGGAGAGGAGATTACAAATAAAATGTTCTACAAATCGTGGTCCTGCTGCCCGCGGGCAGACACCTGAGTTGCGGGGAAATCACAGTGCCTGGAACACGCCTCCTCGGCATATCTCATCCCCGAAAAGGAAGCAGACAGGCCCCTCTCCTAGGTCACTGGCAGTTCCTGGAGGACAGGGACGCTGCCTGCCTCCCGAGTTCCCTCCCACCCCTCTGGACCCACGTACATCGCACCAGCAGGTTGACGGTCTTCTTGGCAGGATTGCCCACGTTGTTGGTGGCTGTGCAGTTGTAGTAGCCAGAGTCCCGGGCCTGCACTGAAGGGATGCTGAGGGTGCCGCTCTGAGCCAGGGCACCCAGGGGCAGCGGGCCCGGCCCGTGGGACCACTGCAGCTGGGGTAAGGGATCACCGCCTGTCAGCAGGCACTGTACCGTCACATTCTCCCCAGGGTTTACCACCAGAGTTTCATTCACAGACAGCTTCAGGGCTGGTGGTGCTAAGAGGACAAGGAGGTGGGGTCTTAGGGGACCATGAGGCAGGGCTGGGGGAGGGGTGGGGTCCAGGGAAACCATGGGGTTGGAGAAGGCCCAGAGGGAGAAGAGAGGGGAGAAGTCAGGGAGCAGGCGTGGGAGAGGAGGGGACGCACTAATGGTGACGTGCCTGGAGTCCTGTGTGGGGTGGGGCACTTTCTCCTGGCTGGGGAGTGAACCAGGTGGGCAAAGGGCATGGGCAGGGCAGTCCTGTACCCGTGGTGTTGGTGAGCCGGAAGGTGATGGCCTTGTCCGGGATGCCGCACACGTTGCGTACAGACACCTGGCAGGTGTAGCTGGCGTAGTCCTGGGGCCGCAGGTTCTTCAGCTTCAGGACCTTGGTCTCCCCCTAGGGCAGGAGCACACCACTGGGCTGAGGGGCCTGCTTGGGTCTCCTGGGATCCCGCACACATTCACCCAGCACGAGCGGCTGAAGCAAATTCCTATTTTCATTCCTATCTTTCCAACCTCCACACCGTTTATCCCCAGGGAGCCTGAGCCTGGGATGGGTACTGCGCTCTCCGTAGCTTGAGCGTCTCTGGATGCGATGTCCTGGTACACACAGCCAGAACCACGCCTCAGCTTTCCCACTCTGGGAAAGGGAGCATAAGGAAGGAATCCTGCCCTGTCTTACAACCTATACAGACATGGGGTTGGCCCACAGGCCACGTCCACATGGGGAGCTTTGACAGCCACCAGGGACAGCCACCTCTGAAAGACTCTGTCCCTGGCAGGACAGATTCATCACCATCTCCCGGGACTGGAGGGGACCCATGGGAAGCACAGTCATCTCTCTGCCCCCCAACTCCTGCTGTGCCTGCCCAGGAGCACCCCCCCCCCACCATGTGCATGCAAGGATGACACATCCGCCCCTCGGGGGTGCCTTTTCTAACAAGCGATGTTCCAGGAAGACACGCTGCCTTGGGGACTCTGCTATCCTCACCACTGCTCCCTGACCTTTCTGTCCTGATCTCATCTGGCCCAAGTTTTCTGAAGCCCAATCAGAACGCATGCTTCTGAGGTCAGAACAGAATCATTAGAGTCAGGGCAGCCCCTGGAACACCAGATCATGAGGCCTCAGTCCCCACGTTCCCCTCCCTTGCTGGGTGCACAAGGAAGAGTGTGGGGGGAGCCATGAGGAGACAGGCCAGCTGCCGTCCATCCTGACCTGGGTGTAGAGGGGTTCATAGATGTCGACCCCATTGTCCTGGCTGTGGGACAGGGTGTCGGAGCCCCGCTTCCAGATGAAGCGGGCAGGCGGGTTGGAGTTGACAGTACAGCGCAGGAACACCGTCTTCTCCTGGTAGAAGTTGCCTCGAACGTCGCTCACCGTCTGGTGCACCGTCAGCACAGGCTCATCCAGGTCTGCAAGGACACAGCCCCAGCGAGGTCAGGGCTGGGTGACCCCCACGGTGGGGGGGCTTGGGCTCCTGGCAGCCCCCCAGGAAAGCTAAGCCACCGTCAAGGGATGTCTCCAGAGAGCCAGATGCCGCCCCAGCCCTGCTTGCTTGACCAACGTGTTAGAGGCAGGGAATGGACTTCATGGCTTCCTAGCTGTCCCTCACAGGAACTGCATGGGGGTGTCTACCTTCACCCTCCCATCATGGGATGGAGGAAGCAGGGCACACTGGAAATCAGGGCACTGTCCAAATCCAAGGTTACCTGTTAATTTGCAGTGTGGCCTGCCTAAGTCCCGTCTCTCTCTGGGCCTCTTTCCTCACTGGTAAACTGGACTCGATTGGTGGTTCTCACCTCTGTTTGTGTGACAGAATCACATGGAGATTTTCTTTTTTAATGCCAAAGCCTGGCAGAGCTCACTGATGGTGTCAGAAGTCACAAGAATGATTGCCTCTAAGGAGATTACTGAACTGGGAGGGAGCATGAGGGAACTGTCGGGGGGCCTGGAAATGCTCTTGAACTGGATGGTGTTTACATAGGCATACACATAAGAATTCATTGAACTGTATATTTAAGATTAGTGCACTCTAGGGGCGCCTGGGTGGCTCAGTTCGTTAAGCGTCCAACTTCGGCTCAGGTTATGATCTCGCGATTTGTGGGTTCAAGTCCCTCATGGGGCTCTGTGCTGACAGCTTGAAGCCTGCTTTGGATTCTGTGTCTCCCTCTCTCTCTGCCCCTCCCCCACTCACTCTGTCTCTCGCTCTAAAAAACAAATAAACATTTAAAAAATATTAGTTAACTCTATTGGATGTAAGTTAATCCTCAATAAAAAAAAAAAAAAAAGTTGAAGAAAAAATCCCAGGGCGCCTGTGTGGCTCCGTTGGTTAAGCATCCAATGTTGGCTCAGGTCATGATCTCACAGTCTGTGGGTTCGAGCCCCATGTCAGGCTCTATGCTGACAGCTCAGAGCCTGGAGCCTGATTCAGATTCTGTGTCTCGCCCCCCACCCCCAACCCCTGCTCTCTCTGTCCCTCCCCAACTTGTGCTCGCTTTCTCTCTCTCTCAAAAATAAATAAACTTAAAAAAAAAAAAAGAAACAAAAACAATCCCGATGCCGGCCCCACCCCCAATTACATCAGAATCTCTGGAAGTGGGACCCAGGCATCAGTATTTTCTTTATAAGATCCCCTAGGAGGGGCCTGGGTGGCTCAATCAGTAAAGTGCCCAACTCTTGATTTGGGCTCAGGTCATGATCTTTGCAGTTCCTGGGATCAAGCCCCATGTCAGGCTCTGTACTGATGGCACAGGGCCTGCCTGGATTCTCTCTCTCCCTCTCTCTCTCCCCTCCCCTGTTCACACACACACACTCTCTCTCAAAATAAATGAATAAACATTAAACCAAAACAAGAGCCCCTAGACATTCTAATGTACAGCCAGTGTTGTGAACCACAGGAATCAACAACCCACAGTCTAACATCCCACAAGAGGCATTCCAACATCCCGTCACTCTTTCCTTGCACAGCCCCCATGGACAGAAGTCATAACAAAGACCATGGGTGGAGGTAAGGTATTGATGACACCTAAGCCATGCCTGCCAGCCCTTTCCAGCACCAATAACTCAAAAAATGATCCTCAGCCCCAGGGTTTGGCAGGCCCTTGGGTGGCTGATGGGAGACAGAAGGGTCTAAGGTTCCAGTGGTCACCACTTGGAGGTCTCACCGGGGGGCGTGAGGCATAGTTAATGGGTAGAATCATTGCAGAAATTAAGATGGTGCCAGAGAGGCCCCTTGGGTTGGCTCTACGGTTTCTGGGTACCTAGGATCAGCCTGGGTGAGCACAAAGGCAGGTGGCAAGCAGTAAAATAGCCTCTTGGGGTTAATGGGGTATCTCCATGGAAGGTAGGTAGGGACTAGGGGCTTCTCATTCAACCAGCAGCAAGGACTGAGGGGTGCTTGGTTATGTAGGTGGTGGGGGTAGGGAAGATTCAGAGGTACCCTTGGGACAAAAGCAGAGATATGAGGTCCTGTGGGAAGGGCACTGGACCAGAGTCAAGAGCACCTTTGCAGGTGAACAAGTCACAAACACAAACCCTTGGTACCTCATATCATCTGTGAAAAAGAGTATAATCCAAACTGTCCTGCCCTCCCTGACAACTTTTTTTTTTTTTTAAGTTTATTTATTTTGAGGGCAAGAGAGGGAGGGAAGGGTAGAGAGAGGGAGAGAGAGAATCCCAAGCGGGCTCTGCGCTGACAGCCACACAAGGCTTGAACTCACCAACAGTGAGATCATGACCTGAGCCAAACCAAGAGTTGGAGGCTTAGCCGACTGAGCCACCCAGAGGCCCCTCCCTGACCACTTTAGAGGGACGTTGCAAGGTTCATACAGATTGCAGACGGATATGTGTGAATTGTATAGGACGATACGAGGAACAGCAGATATGCCCCTCTAGTCCGGGAGAGAGAAGAAGGTCTCTACTGTCTTCTTCCATGGAGCTATTGCTTCTTCGGCCTCCTTTCCACCCGCCTCCTTCTTCCCAGGCTGAGCACGCGGGGGCACCCACGGCGCCAACTCACACTGCACATCCACACGAATAGACTTGATGGCGGGCACGCCCACGCCGTTCTCAGCCTTGCAGTAGTAGCGGCCGCCCTGTGTGCGTGCGATGCGCTCGATGCGCAGCGTCTCGTTGAACACTGACGTCTCCTGGAACTTGTCGGATGCGCTGCCCGCAGTCTTGGTCCAGCGCACCTGGACCGGCAGGGTGGGACACAGTCAGACGTGGCAGTGAGGGTGGGGGGCACACCCGGGCCTGGGAAACTAACCCAGACAGACTCCCAGGGATACACAGATGGGGCAGGAGGCCTCAGGGAAGAGCCTGGGAAATCTGAGGTCGGGATGGAGGAGGCTTTAAATAAGGCTGTGTAGTGCAGTGGTTAAGAGCATGGGTTTGGGCAAATTACCCAACCTTTCCTGCCTTCCTTTCCTCATTAGTAAAATAGAGAACATTATGCCCTCCTAAGGTTACTGGGAGGATTACATGTGCCTTAGTGCCTTAGTGCCTGTAAGACTAAGAATTTGGTAAAATTTTTAGTAGCCTTGGGTAGGCTATTCCTCTCTCAGCTTCAGATTTTTCATCTGTGAAAGAGGTCTCTGAGGTAGCCAGCCTCCAAGATGGCCCCAGTGATCCCTGCCTCTAGTCCTTTTCTGTGGTGCCTTCCCACTTTGTACCAGGGCTGGTCTGTGTGACCAATATAACACACCAGGCATGATGGTATGTCACTTCCAAGACCAGGTTATAACAGACTGTGACTTCCATCTTGGGGCAAGCCATCTGGCTGTCACGAGCAGCCCTGTGCAGGGGTCCACAGGGAAATAATGGAAACCTCAGGTCAACAGCCACAGGAGTTAGCTTGCAAGTGGGTCCTCCAGCCCCAGTCAGCTCTCAAATGACTGCAGCCTCCTGAGATACCCTGAGCCAGAACTGGCCAGCTAAGCTGCTCCTGGATTCTGATCCCACAGGAACTGTGAGACACTAAGTGCCTACTGTTTTAAGTCCCTGAGTTTTACAGCATTTGTCATGCAGCAATAGATAACTGTAACTATCATATAGCATAATACTCACTTTGCAGAGTCATTGTGAGGTAGCCCCTGGCCCATATTAGTCATTCAACAAATTCCTATTATTATATTTGCCCTAAATTGTGGGAAACTATTGAGGATCACACAAGAAACTGGAGCTACTCCTCAGGGTACCAGACGTTTAAGAAAAATTGATCGGTTCCAGATGATTGAGTCTTGAGGACTGGGGGATGGGGTAGGGAAGTTTCCATCTTAAAGTTGGGGAGAATTGCTTATTACTGAGACAGGGCAAGGTGCCTGATGCTGGTGAATAGGTCAGGCCATAGGCCACAAAAACAGCAAGGCTCAGGAGAAGTGGGTGAAGGGCAACCTTCTCATTCAGAGAAGCGTCACTGCAGGCCTCATTGTTGCTACTGTCATCCCCCCGCCACCCTCAACTTTTCCCTCAGGGACCTAGAGGGGACAAAACCTGCAGAAGGCTATAGGCAATTTCAGGCAATTCATACTTAGGTCAGAGGGTGCTTTGGAGAGAAACCAAGGCCATGAGAATATCTTTTCTTTTACATTTGACATTTTGCAGTTTTACTGTGTTTATCTAGATGGGATGTGTTTAGAAACTGCTTTGGATTTGCTTTGTTTTATCCACCTGAGGGTTTGTACCTTTCTTCAGGTCAGCACAATTCTCAGTCTTTACCTCCTCGAATGTTGTCTTCTCTCAGTTTTTTCTAGTCTGTCCTTCCAGAATGCCTACGTTTATGTTGGAGCTTGTCATTCTATTCTCCATGCCTCCCAGCTTCCTTTCCACATTTCCATCTCTTTGTCTCCTCCAGACCACACTGTAGTTGATTTCCCTGGATCTATCATCCAATTCGCTAATTTTCTCTTTAGCTATCTCTATGCACAGAGGCCAAGTTTTTAAAAAGACTGTGTTATTTTTATCTCTAGGATTTCTATTTGTTTTTCTCCCCCATATCGAACTGATCGGGTTGTACAATCTCTTGTCTTGTGGATTATATTCCTTTCATTATCTCTTGAAACACTTTAATCATATTTATTTTAAAGATCCTTTCAGATTGTTCTGTTATCTCTGTTTCCTCAGATGTGGATTGCTCAATTTTTTTTGGCGGGGGGGTGGCGGGGGGAGGAGGGTCTATGGATTGGCTCTCCTGGCAGTGTATTTTCAAATACGTTTGGAAACTTTACTCCACGGGCTTGCATTTCATGGGAGTTTTCTTCCACAGAAGTCCCACTTAGGCCCTCACAGGCCTGTCTGTGGTATAGCTTTCATGGTTCCCAATGCCCAAGACACATAGGTTCACAGGTTCCAACTAGTTTTTATATTAATTTCTCAGCTTAGGGTTTCCTCACCACTTGGATAGTGCAAGACACAGACAGCCTAAGGGTTGTGCTCCTTCGTAGGTAACTCTGTTTATACCCATGCCCTGAAGCAGAATCTGATCCCTGCTGTGACTCTAGGATGTGGGACAGAGCTCTTCTGGTCCCCATTCACAGGTGATGCCCTTGTCCAGCTTCCTGCTTTAGGTAGAGAGTCTAGGTCTAACCTCCAAGCATAGATGGACCTGTGGCCTCAACTCATATCCCCCATGTGTGTGTTAATACTACTATCCCTGAGGTGAGTACACAGTCCAAGCCCCTCCAAGGAGTTCTTCACCTTCTGCTCACTGCCATTGCTACGGATCCTTCATTCTGGCCCTCAAGATTCCCTCTCTGTTGCTACTTGTTTGGAGTGGGGAATTCCATGCCCACTCAGCCCCCCATCCTGACCTCGAAGTGGGCCATGAGATGCTGCTTCCCTGTTCCCCTACTAGATTGGATGCTCCATGACAACAGAACTGTAACTGTATCTTTAGGACCCCTCACAGTGCTGGGCACATAGCAGGTGCTCCATAAATATTTGTTGTAATGAACTGAGCAAACAAGGAGGTAGACGGCATTTCAGGAGAAGGGAGCAGAAGTGGCTAACGCAGGAATGAACAGGGTGTACTTGGGCAAGTGTGACTGGAGCACAGGGTGTGAGGAGGATGGCAGTGGAGGTCAGACAGGCAGAAAGGCAGGTGGGGCCAGCCTATGGGAGGTCTTCACTTCCACCCCTAGCAGCCTGAAATGGGTCTGGTAGGTAATAGGTAAACCATCGAAAGTGTCTGAGCTGGGGAGTGATAGGACAGAGCAGGTTTGAAGATGATGATTCTGGGAATGGGGTACAGAAGCAGAAGCGTGGGGATCCAGTTAGTCTATTGCAGTGGTCCAAGGGATAGGACTGAAGGTCTGGCCTCCAGAGGTAATGAGGAATAGAAGCAGAAGACCCATGCGGGAGACATAAAAACAGAGGCCTCAGAGGCTGGCTAGATGTGGGGAATGAGAAGGCAGAGTCAAATATTAGCCCAAGGGTTTGAACCTAGGTAGCAGGAGGAACAATGAAATCATGGATGGAAGTAGAAAAAAGAGTGTGTGCACGCACAGCCACAGACACGAACGACTCAAAAACGCGACGCACAAGGGGACACACACAGATGGCCAGTGCAGCCTTAGGGAGAGATGGCCCAACTGCCTCCCTGGCATTAGGGAGGACCATCCCGATGTCACACCTGATACAAACACCAACCTGAAGGCTGGCAGCATTGTCACTTCTAAACAAAACTTTGAGAAGAAGCGAGCAGTGAATAATGGTTTTAGGTTGAGTCTTTAGGGGTCTCCTTGTCCATCTGCTGGTTTCAAGGCCAAACCCATCAAAGCCATCCCTCTTCCCAAGATTATCCCAAAAAACTATTTTGCATTTCACTGTCCTCCCTAGGATCCAATGAAAAATTTTCTGCTGCTCTTAAATGCCACGGCAGCTCACCAGCAAATTCCATCATTCCTCCAGCCCGGCTCCTGCCTCTTGCCACCAGCTTCGGTGAGAACTGGCCAACGCTTCTGACGGAACCATATACGTGGTCTGTGACAAAATTTCCCTGGCTTCTGGTAAATTTACTCATCTTCTGCTGCTTTCTAATTGCTTTCAGGCTTTTACCATCAAGAATGTGGGGCTTGCCTACCTGAAGCCTCCTGAAGAAGAGAATGTATTATATGTTGTTGGTAACTCCTGAAGCCCCCAACCCAAAGATGGACACACTGGGAGGAGGTGCGCTAAAGCTACAGCGGATGCTGGTTCTGGATTCGAATTCTGCTTCCACCCTCACAGGAGCTGTGTGATCTTGGGAGTTTACTCAACCTCCCTGAGCCTTGATTTCCTCAGCTGTGAAGTGGATGCCCTAATGTCTTCCTCACAGCATGGTCGTGAGGCTCCAACAAGAAAACACTGGAGGAAGTACCTAGCACAGTGTTGGCACGTGGTCTTCCCTCAAACGGAGGTTGAAGGTGCGTGTGAGGAAGCGTCTGCACAACAGATACAATGGGAATGAAGTAGAATTCAGCAACTGACGTTGAATTATTCCCTCAGTCGTCGATGTTTTCAGGTGAATAAGCTCACAGACTCCAGCCCTTCCCTACCGCGTTCATTTTCCAGCTATTTCCTAGCCCCAGCCTTCTGTGTTGGGTTTACTGGCCAACATCCACCTCTTACCCCCAGCTCCTGCTGCCTCTTCTCTAGCTCTGGGCCCAGAGTGGGGCGCGGAGTGAGGAGGTAAGGGCAGGGGAGGCACGTGCGAGGCCAGGGTGGGGCTTACCTGGGGCCGAGGGTGCCCGGTGACAAGGCACTGCAGCACGAGGGTGTCCCCCTCCCGGATGGTGTAGACGCGCTCACTGATGTTGTCCTCCTTCACCACACACGCCTGGCCCGCGTGGACGATTTGAGCCTGGGCGGGAGCTGGCGGGAGAGGGGGCAGGTTTAGGTAAGAGGCACCAAGGCCAGCGGGGGTCTAAGGCTCCCTCCTCTGAGTGTGTTAGGGGGGAGATGTCAGCCCAGAACTCCCCAGGCCATTCCTTAGAGGCCTGACCTATGGAGCTCTGGAAAGAATACTCCCAGGGTCCCAGGCTAGGCCCAGAAAGGTCAAGGACTCAGGAAAGGGGTAGTTCCTCCTCATCCCACCCTCCTTGCAAGAGTTCTGTGTTTTCAATGAGCTGATGAGTATGAGGGGCTCAGTAATCCATACAGATGGGTCATCTCTCCGTGAGCATCGCTGTCTTAGCAGCCTCTGTAGCAGAGACTGCTGGCGCTCCCCCAGGTCCCCATACCTGCCGGGTACATCCATCCCCCAGCTGCTAGGCACATACAGCTCACCTTCCGCTGGGAACTGTCCTTCACCAGTGGGAGCTGCCTGAGCCAGAAATGCCTGGGAGCTCTCCCCTTCCCCTAGTGCATATGCACATAGTCCAATGGCTGACAGATCCCCGTCTCCTGGTGGGATGACTATGGTGCCATTTGCACTCCAGAGCCCCCCTGGGAATAGGTTGAGGCTAAAACGACTGAACCACATTTCTGTCTGTCTGCTTCCCCATCCAGTTTCTCCTGAGAGCACTTTCCCAGCAAATCACTTGCCTGAACCATACCCCATCAACCATCCAGCCTTTACTTTTAGAGAGCTTAACTAACGTATTTCCCAGCCCCACAGACTGCTCACTGCCCTCACCCAAAGGCCTGTTACTGTTCCCCCATTGCCAACCTCTTCTTCTAGGGACAGAAGCTCTCTCCAGGGACCTGGAAGCCTCCAAAAGACTGGCTCCTTCCTGGCCTTTCTCACATGACCAGGGCTGGGGGACCAGGGCTAGGATGTGGCTGGGACACCCAAAGGGAAAATGACTGGATTGGGAAAGTACACAGTCCCTCCCTAAGTGTCTAGCCCCTAGCCCAGCAATGTTTGGGCTTGGAAAAGGAGGGCAAGACCCCCCGAGTTCCCACCTTTCTGCTCTCAGCTGAGGGTAGAGAAAATGGAGGTAGGAAGGCTAATCCGGAGCACAAGGGGGTGAAAACAGAGTCCTTGCCCTAAAGAGGTGTACAAAGATGCGATAAAGCCTGTGCATAGGATGTGTAACTTCCTCCAGGAATCATCCCGTGATTGACCTGCACCCTCCCTCCTTCTGTATCCATCACTATCCCAGTACAACAACAAAGCATCAATCTGTGTGTCTGCCAGATTCAGGATTCTTGTCTTTCTGCCTACCCAACCATGAGTTTCACCTTGATGTTCCCAGTGAATGTTGAGTGAATGAATCTACAAGAACATCCCATGGCAATGTGTCTAAGCATCGTAAGAGAGGTGGAGAGGGCCCAGAAGGTCAGAGGAGAGAGAGAGAGAGCACTGTCTGCTAGAGAAAGAATCACAGAAGAGATAGCCTTCTAACCAGGCCTCAGAGAACAAGGGACTTTGTGCAGGTTGACCGGGCAGAGTCCCGTCTAATACGTATTACCTGGAGTAAACCCTTAGTGGTCTTTGCACCTTCATTTTCTCATCTCTGAAACAGAGAGAATGCTGCCAGGCCTGAGAACTCACAGGGGTGGGTGTGACAGTAACACAGGCAAAATGACAAGTGCTTAGGAGACCCCTAATGTGTTCTAGAGCTGCCGCAAGTAGACCTTAACAGAACCTCTCCGACCAAATCCACTGGGGCAGTCAGGAACTGATTACAGAGGTGGGTCCACAGAGGCAGCCCAGCTGTAGGTCAAGAAGCTTGTGGGGCAGCAACAGGGAGCAACCCAGGGCCATGTTTAACCAGGAGAGTCTCTGCAAACAGCAGCGGCTCCTGCAAACAGTGGCAGCTGCCAAGAACCCAGAGTCTGAGTGTCCAGACAACCTTCTGGACCACCGGGCTGCCACAGAAAAAGGAACCTAGGCTAGTCGTCAGGGGATAAGCTACGCAACCTTGGGCAAAGTCAGACCTCCTGGGCCTCAGTTTCCCCACCTATATAGCATGGGAGTGGGTTTAGATGACCTCTGAGATCCCTTTCAACTCACACTTTCTCTGAATTTTGTAATCAGCGCATAGTCCATATAGAAGACGCACCCTAGAGTCTGGGGAATGGGTCTGAAACTGTCACCCACACACCTCCCTGCAATGCAAATGCAGGCACATCACCACACCATGGAAGAGAGAGCCATCTGTGGCCAAGGTCCCCAGCAATCTCGTCAGGAAATGACCCACCAATGCAGGACGCGCATGCCAGTTGCTGATAAGACCAGAAGGTCGCGTGGATGTCTATAAGAAGCCTGGGGGTGCCTCTCAACAAGGAAGACATTGATTTAACAGGCTCCAGTGGAAGATAAGCTGGAATCCTGGACACTGTGGCTCGCCAATAGCCAGGCAGTGTTGTCACAACAGAAGGTTTGGTGACTGATAAGGAATATTGAAAAGGAGCTGGAGAGCCACACTTTCTCAGGGTCTGGACGGCACAGGCCAGGAAAAAACGGGGCCTGGCCAGCAGACAGAAGGCCTCTGGCCACCTGACAAGTTTCCTCACTGGAGATGGGGCATCATGGATGATGACATCATGAAGATTACCCAACTTCCTTTGATGACATTGACTCTTAAGAACATCAAACTCTAAAATGATGGAACCACTTTGGAAGAGAATTTGGCAGTACTTACTCAAGCTGTTCAAGGGTACACCCCATGACACAGCAATCCCACTCCTGGGTTGTACCCAGTAGAAACGAGTGCTTATAACAACCAAACAATAGGGGCGCCTGGGTGGCTCAGTCAGTTGAGCGTCCAACTTCGGCTCGTGTCATGACCTTGCAGTTTGTGGGTTCGAGCCCCACGTCAGGCTCTGTGCTGACAGCTCGGAGTCTGGAGCCTGCTTCGGGTTCTGTGTCTCCCTCTCTCTCTGTCCCTCCCCTGCTCATGCTCTGTCAACAATAAATAAATATTAAAAAAATTTTTTTTAAATAACAAACAATAGGTCCAAGAATATTCATAGCAGCTCTCTTCATTATAGCTAACCACAAGAAACAGCCCATGTGTCCATCAAGACTAGCATGGATAAATAAATTCTGGTATAATCATACAATGGAATATTACACTAAAGTAAAAAACAAACAAACAAAAAAAAACCACTGATAGACACAATGTCATTGTTGAATCTCACATGCACAATTTGAGTGGAGGAACTCAGAGACGAAAGAGTAAAGAGTATGTGATTTCATATATCTGCAATTCAAAACTGGAAAAAACCCATCTTAAAGCAACAGAGATCTAAACAGTAGTTGCCCTTGAGTGGGGATAGGGATTATTAACCGGGACAGGCACAAAAGAAGTTTCTGGGGAGAAGATGAGATCCCATCTGGTGGGATGGAAATGTCTACATCTTAATCTGGGTGGTGGTTATAGGAGTGGATAGAGATGTAAAAATGTGTCAGGTTATTTGCTTAAGGTTTTACGGTACCTCAGTTACACTTCAGTTTTAAAAAACTGCCCACTGAGATCACCCAGTTCCTTCTGTTGACACTAACCATTACCCTACCCACTCCCTTCACTCTGACTCCTTGATGAGCTGCCTCCCATGGCTGACTTCTTCACAGTGCAGATTTTCCCTCTGGAGCAAGTGGTGCCCAGGCCCCCTTGGCCTTGGCATTTCAATCTCCCCATCACCTCCCACTGAGCTTTGTTAACATGAATCAGCCTCTCTGACTCTGGTCACCTCTGGAGTGGCTACAACTGTGATCTGGACCCTGAACCAACAGAGTCCCCACCAACTCACGGGCCCCTAATGGGACTCTGTCCCACTTAACCTCCCGCTCCACACACCCCAGGAAGGCACTACCAGCAGCAGCATCTTCGGTTCCAAAGGCAACTAGGCCAGGGCCTGTGTCAAGAGGCACCATGACATCATAATCCCTGCATTCAGTCTGTCAAACAACAAATGCTCCGAGCGGGGGCTGCTGTGCTGGGTGCTGGAGAGACTGTCATGAAAAGCAAACAATGAAAAGAGCATTGTTGGGGAGACAGATAGCACACAAGGGAACAGAAATGAACAGGGTGGTTTCAGAGTGTTGTAAGTGCTAAGACTACTCTAGAGCAGGGGATGCGTCACGGAACAGTGACAGCAGAGGAGAGACATGGTTTAGAGAAATGGGAAAAGCAGACAATCTGGGACTAATTCCTGGCTCTGCCATCCACTAGCTGAGTGACATTAAGCAAATTACTTAACCTCTCTGAGCCTCAGCCACTTCATTCATAAAATGGGAACAAAAATGCCTTCTTCCAGGGCTGGTGTGAGGGTTTAATACAAGACCTGTAAAACATCTGGCCAAAGAAGACATGCTCTCTCAATAAATGACAGTTCCTGGGGCGCCTGGATGGCTCAGATGGTTGAGTTCCTGACTCTGGATTTTGGTTCAGGTCATGATGTCACAGTCGTGGGATCGAACCCCACATTGGGCTAATGCTGGGCATGAAGCCTACCTAAGATTCTCTCTCCCTTCCCTCTCTGCCCCTTCCCCACTCCCTCCCTCTTAAAAATAATAATAATAGGAGGTCCTGGGTGGCTCAGTCGGTTGAGCGTCCCATGTCGGCTCAGGTCAGGATCTCACAGTTTGTGAGTTCGAGCCCCGTGTCAGGCTCTGTGCTGACAGCTCAGAGCCTGGAGCCTGTGTCAGATTCTGTGTCTCCCTCTCTCTGTCCCTTCCCCACTCATGCTCTGTCTCTCTCTGTCTCTCAAAAATGAATAAACATCAAAAAAAATTTTTAATAAAAAATAAATAAATAAATAAATAAATAAATAAATAAATAAATAACTGACAGTTCCTGAGATGATTAAATAGGGACAAGAGATGGGGACAGGAGACCACCCTCTGTGGCTCCCTCTATATGTCTCCCAGCACAGAGACATTGAAAACAGACATAAAGCCGATAGGGATGTTTCACGAATAT